CCTACGCGGCTAAGCTGTAGCCAGAGACTGCTACGCGAGAGAGTAACCGGAGGCTTTTGTTCGCGGCGGGCGGCACCAGTAAAAACTGGATCCGCGTCATGATCCGCAGCACTTGTTTTTTCGATCGGGGCGCCCGCTCGCAGCCTTGATCGAACTATGAAATCGCACACTTCGGATGGCCTCCCCTCCAATGCCACGGATTATGCCTTCGGTAATTTTTATACCGCGACGTTACGTAAAAAGCTCGTTCTTAGCGATGCATTGAATTGTGACCGGGCGATGATCGCCGCGATTGATAGTGATAACCCGAGACGTTTATGTAAACTCTTTGCCAAGTGCGGCTGCCAGTACTTAATTCGGGTATTTAGTGTTGCTAACGACAAGCTAGCGCGGAATCGTGTAATTACAGGCGGCTACAACTACGTAGAAAGGCATATGTTTTAGATTTTGAAAGTTCTGAAAATAGCAACGATATCTTTTTTTTTTTAAGGATAACAAGGTTCGCCTTTAATTGCCCGAGGAAAAAACCACATTAGGAGCCGACTGAAATTCCAAAGGAACTAATGAGCCAATTTTATTGTGGCTTTTATGAAAGATTGCCTAATAAAAAAAGAAAAAAGTTTTCGGCGAGTGCAAAGAAATTTAATTTGTTTCACAAAAGGGTGTATGAGTGGCACATTATGAAGATGCGATGACGAACAAAAATAGAATTGTATGCCTTGTGTCGGTGGTGTAGATTTTTCTTGTAATAGGACACGTACAAGGTACGTAATAGAGTTAGTAGGAGAAAAGTGCAGAAAGGAAAAAAAATTACGGAATTTCAGTTTAGCTCCTTATAAAGAATCAATGTTCCAAACGGTCAATTACGCCTGCCCACGCTGGAATATCAATTGTTGAACTAAAAAAATTGTTAATATAATTACTGCGTTTTTTAAATATTTTGTGGAGTTAAGTTATAACTAAAAAATTAATAGGGATATATAGAAATTGAAACTAAGCATAATGATAAGAATCGTAGTTCCAATCCTTCTAATAAGAGCTCAATTATCTTTTACGAGTGTAGTTTTGATTTTGTTAAATCAAAACTGAAATGGTCATTTAAAGCTTTAAAAGAGTTTCAGTAACTTTTAAGCAAGGGTAGACCTTCAAAAATTCAACGTATATTTCAGTGAAAAACACTCCTTGACGCACATACACAAAATTACACGTGACCCGCATGTACCAAAAGACTATACATTTGTAGTTTTTCGAAAAAAGCCAAACAAAATTGAACTTCCAATGCTCGAAAAGCATTTGCTTGATTCGGCTCATTCGCGAGTCTCTCCCATAAAGGCGTTGCTAATGAGATCAGCGAGAGCGAAAGAACGGTCGGTACAGCCATTCGTGACTGCGTAACTTTTGCATCGACCTGCTGAAAAAAAAATCATTAACCGGTAGCTTCCAGCGATCCTACATAATCACTTGTCGTCCGCCTTGCGCCTTTCAGTGAAAGTTTACGCAACCTTCACGCACTGAACTCCTCCTTTGCGCGTGTGTGTATGTGTGTGCCTCAGCTACTCGTTCGTTGCAGGTCGCCAGCTGAACGAAATTTGTCGAGGTCCGAATATTCCGTAGCAGGCTTACGTCATGGGAACTCCAATGATCTCTGGTACATTTCGAAACTCGATGAATAGACACAAAGCTTTTGTTTCGCCGACGCGCGCAAAGCTTACGTGCGATCTGAATGGAAAATTATACAGGTGACACCGTCGACCATGCATTTTTTTCTTTTTTTCGGCGCAAAATTTCCCATGGCGCCACGTCGCCATATTTCAAATACGAGCGGTATATTTATTGTACTTGGAGTGGTGCCTCTTTCGCCATTGATCACTTAATGCATTGTATGCGCTTTCGATTGGAGATTTTTTCGCGCGGAGACGACGAATTACCGCGTGTGAAATCGTTGAGTGATTATCGTTGTAGCGAAAAAAACATACAAAAATTTCACCTTATTAACCGAACGGCGAGAATATGGCTCTCTCTCTCTCTCTTTCTTTCTCTCATAAGCATTAATATCTCGCGTAGACTTTTTGGTAATATAACGTTTTTCTTTTTTTCTAGTTTATTATACTCGCGTATGAGAATTTTTTTTCATCTATATATATACAGGCGCAGTCTACCAACACAGTTTCCCAGAGATCTCGCGTGTGCACTTGCATTTTTTAATAATTTATTTCGCTCGTTGCTGCCTGCACGAGAACTGACGACTTTCGAATCACGTCAAAAGCTTTCAAGTTACGACTCAACTGCGCGTATATTAAATATTTTACGTAAAAAGATCGTCACTAAATATATTCACTATGAGATTGGCTTTATTAGTTCGGGATTGCAAATTGAAATCTCCTAAGGCTTTTTCAATTATCGAAAGCGCAGAAAAACAACAGTTACTTCTAATTTTTCCTATTATTGAATTAATGACGACATGTCATGATTTCAATTACACTGACACACGTAACTTTTTTGCACGATCGTTTGCTAAGTGAATTCAATCTGTAGGTAACTCAAATAACTTTTTTCACGTATTTTCATTAAGCTGGTGCACTATACTTAATTGCTTCGATGAAAGAAGGTACACGTGATTTATCGGGCGATCGTGATTTCGTTTAGAAGTCGCAGAGATACAATGCAAATGCCTCTCGCTAGTCTGCAAGCGCAAAAAGAGCAATATTAAATTTCTGTTTTCGTAATGAAGCTGAGCGCAATTACACGAGATGCGAAAAAGATTGGCTTGAGAGTGTGTCTTATAGCGTGAAATGCGGCGTTTATGGCAAGTGAAATGTTTCGTTTTGGTTGCTCGAGCTGTGTATCAAAGATGGCTTTTCGCGACTTTAATGACGACTGCAAAGTACAGAAGAGGCCAAATCACCAAGACGAAGATGAAATTGAAATTCTCACGCGTCACTTTGGCATGCCTTTCCTCTCATTATTCACTCAAAGTGAATGCGCTGGAAATTGCCATTCATAAAGTATCAGCAAACGTAGAAAATATCACGCCCACATATTCATTTCATAAGGTATTTATGACTGAAAGAAAGAAAAAAGTTTTCATACAATAATAGATCGGTTACTTTACAACTCAGGAACTTTGCTACAACGATTCAGATTTCACTTGACTTCACACATACGAAACAATTCGATACGCTTCTTGAAAGGAAAGTTACACTTCAAGTATAAATAAGAACGTTCAATCAACTCGCACTCGAATGAAAAAAAGTCTATCGCTATTTCCACGCTGTAGTTCAATGCCACATAAATAGATAATTAGGCTGCGTCGTGCCATCTTGTAAAATTGCCTCAAGGTCATTATGAAAACGTGATCCATAAAATTTCTCTCGGGTCGCTTAATATCTCATCAAGCCTCGAGCGTCATTCGCGATCATAATAACCAATTGAGCCCGAGAATAGAGCGAACGGAAAAAAAAAATAAAATAAAATAAAAAATAACAGAGAGGCATGAACTAGAACAGCCGGTTGCCGTGCCGAGAGAAAACCATAGGCATTACACGCACGGGACGCTCATCAGACATTCAGCAGACCTTGAACTCCCGGAGCGCAGGTGCGCGAGGTTTTCACCGTGCGCACATAACAAAGGGGTCTTCGTGCGGCACGAACAAAAACTTACGTATTTTTGCACCGGCCAAATTCTTTCTCGAGCACGGCAGCGGGACGCCGGAAGAAGTTGCGGGCAATTACGCGCGATATTATTACAAAACCCGTCGCAAGCTTGTGCAAATAGTCGACCAAAAATGAAACGATCGGTTGCACTGATACCTACGCCGTTTGGACGTTTACGAGCTCGCCAGACCTGCGTTTGCGCGTGGCCTGTCACTTTTAATTCGCAGGCTGTACGAATTGACGCTCGTAAACTTGTTATAATATGAGAGTTTTATCACGATTTTTCAAGCTGGATTATGGTCATGTAATCATTCTTTCTCCAGGGTACATCCGTAATTATTGTATGTATGGACATCTTTCAGTATCTTTATGAAATCCATTAACCATCTTTCAATTATGATTGCTTAAAGATCCACCTAACAATGTATTATCGTAAGGATATAGATGAAAAATAATAATTAGATATATTTACAGTCATCGGAAAATTATACGTCACGTAATATCGATAAAACAATAAGTTCTTTAAAAGAAAATAGTTCTTACGCAATCGCTATTACGCCCATCTTTATTCTCAAGCTGTCTGTAGTATACCCGTCAATCAATTCATGGCACTTGGCGCTTTACCAGAGAACCTCTTTCTCTCTCATCGACAAATAAAGGGAGCCCCCTCCCCCGTCTGGAATTCGTCCAAACGTCCATACATCGAAAGTGTTATTTTCTCCAAATCAGCACGTAAATTTCGCGTATAAGAAAGGGAGGGGCAGAAAGTCGTTGCGAGACTTTCTAGGTGAAAAAAAAAAAGGAACGCGATCGTCGAATTTCATTTGTCCTGCGATAAATCTCGTCGCCGCGTAGCCTTTTGCTTTCTAAGCGGAAGGCCGTTCAACTTGCAGTGCATGCGTTTTAACTTTCGATTTGGAAAAAAACTACTACTACTTCTTCTCTCTCTCTCTCTCTCTCTCTTTGAGATCTCATGGTTTACGGATTTTTCATGTTTCTCGGATCGTTTTGTAACTGCAAATTTATGTTAAATTTATCGACAATAAAGTGGCATTTGCAGTACCACGGAAATGTAAATGTTTGTATTAGATTGAGAACTCGAAAATAAGATCGCAGTGTGTTCCCTGCTGTGGACACTGTTCGTAGTTTTCTGCGCGTTAGTCATACATTATTGTACGAATGATCTTCGACCCAACCGATTACGATAAAAATTTAGGTTTCGAAACTAACGATAATTCTTCGTTGCGCGTGACAAAAATTGTTCAAGTTGACTCGAGTCAATTAACAAATGACCCAACAAAATATTGTTAATCTAAAGTTCATGCGAATGCATTCGAATGTTTCAGTTGCTGCTGTGCAGTGCTTGTGTGTCGGCGCAATACAGCGACGAGTCAAGCGGTGGTGGGACGACACTGCCGAAAAAGTCACTGCAAATTCCACGAAGACTGAAAGCGCAATCGCGACTGTCCGGTCCGACCTCCCAACAAACGACTATCATCAATCAAAGATTTCGACGGCCGATACCAATAAAGTGAGAGTTTAACGCGGCTACTTGCCATAACAATTATTCGTACAAGTATCACGCGCACCGCTCTTCTATATTATTTCACGCCCGATCGAAATCGGCTTCAATTAAGATTTTAATTAAAATATCGATCGCGTAGAACTGGCTTATGAGATTTTCTGACTGGAAATTTCTTGAGTAACAACAATGAGAGACAGTTTACTATTGGCGTGAAGCGTGTACTTTTTTTGTTACTACTCTGAGGCTGGGTGATTAGCAGCGGGGATCGTAAAAGAAATTTAGTCCGAAGGTTTCCGTGGGCGTTTATATGGAGATATCTGTATGTGCGGCTTTTAACGAGTTCCGATTTTATTTGCACGGAGGGAGCAGCATTACGTAAGCAAAATGTTGTCGAGACAAAAAGATTAATTGATCGCTTTATGATTTGAGAGGCTCATAACTGAAAGTTATATAGTGCCGTGTAATTAGCGTGCGGGGTTACATCTATTGTTATCTGTCTCTATCAAGTGTAATTACATATATATAGCAACGCCTAATAATTCAGCTAGGGCTCGCAATGTTTTTAGAAAGTTTCGAGACAATTTCCATTTCGATGTTGTTTTGTGTTCTTAGAGTAAATTTAATCGAAAAATAAAATTAGATAAAAAAATATATACGTAAAATTTTACCTGTTGTTGTGATATATCAATAACGAATAGTATGAATTTCAGTCTATTAAGCTAATTTTCGATACGTCATTTCTTTTCGGAGCTATCAGAAGAAAAATGCTATTATATCTCAAGCACAATTTCATTTTGATACCGCGACCACACCATCATTAACTGACGATTCAATTTTTCAAAAGATAACTTTTGATGCAATATCGCTGAAACGATAACGTAAAGCAATTGCTTGGTTATCATTTTGACGATGCTTACGTAAAATAAATTCGAAATCTCTGTTCCGAGTTTCACAAATTAAAGAGAACATTTATAGACGAAAAATTGTTACCAAAATCAAAAGCGCAACTGAAACCTACAAACTTACAAGAAATATTTATGTATCATCAGCAAACCACGTCCATCATCCGAGCCAATACCCGAGCTGCCAGTATTCACGTCGGGAATCCGCGGCTCACGACCATCATCGGCAGCTCTATCAAGTTACGAGCAAAACGACGATGCATCGGCGATTCCAATTCAAACGATTCAGCAGCCACACATCGTGCACGCACAGTCGATTCATCCAACGCCACCGCCACAGCAACTTGTCACTGAAGTTAAACCCGTCAGCGAGGAGAACGACAAGGATCAAGATGTCGTACAAGTGATTGCTAATCTCGGCGCTATCTCTGGATTTAGTGGCCAAGGCAACTTGCTGACACCGACTGTCGCATCGCCGATTCCAACCTCCACTGTCAGCTCGTTTCTGCATCAGCAACAAGAGAAACAACACGAGAGACAGTACCATCAACAGCAAATTCAACCGGTTCAGTATAGATCTCCTCATCCGTTGATCAAGACTGCGCCCACGATACACCCAGAGCAGGTTGGCAATTAAATTGTTTAACTTTTATTTTTGATCGATGAAATAATAGGTATAATTGATAATTGTTCACGAAAAATATTATAAGTACAGCAATCCAATAAAATTGTCAAAAAACGATAACGCACATCCTTTCGTGTATATAATTTTCGCAGATCCACCAAGTGATTCAGCCAGTACAGTACCGACCGCAAAAGCCCGTAAGACTGCACAAACAGCAGCAGCAGCAGCAACAGTTCACCGATCGCAGCGAGTACGAGTTGAATGAAGCTCGTCCGCTGGCGAAACAAAGGCCTCAAGTCGCGCCAAAGAAGTCGAAACCGCAGTCTGGCTACTACGAGGGAAGAACTAAGAAACCCGTTGCACAGGTACATATAATAACCGTTGATGAACTCTTCGTGCAATTGGACTGCCAAGTGACGCTCTTTGATGAATCTTTCAGAAGCTTCGCATGAATACACTCACATCCACAGTGGTTATTTAATTCGCGAAATGATGTTTTATAATTTGACGGCAAGTTGAGTCAGCTTTGCATCTTTCGCTGCACGACGACTGACTATACAACATTTTTAGCATGTATGCAATTTCGCTTGCAAATGGCTTGTACTCGTGAGTGGTAGTTCCGACTGTTATCCAACTGCGGTTTTTATCGTCTTGTCAGTTCTCGCGTGTAATTAAAGTGTAACTTCACTGGTTTCTAATACGCATATACAATCTTCTTTGGACTTTTATTGTAGGAAATTCCAGAATACATGCGTATGCCATTTGTTCAACAGACAAATGTAGACTCAGACTTCTATCGTTGACGCACGTTCCCATTCAGTTCAGTTCAACGACATACGTCCTCCTTATGTTTGTTATTTTAAAATGAATTTCTTTATATTAACATATTCATAATTATTTAGAGTATCGAGTAGTAACATTCATCATTACAAAAATCTAATGCTAGTATTTATAAAAAACATTTTTTATAATCTATATCTATTATATAGGTACTCGTATTTAAAATAAAATTGGAAAAATAATAAATAAGAGCAAATTTGATCAAACGTGTGTGTAAAAAACGTCCAATTACAATTACTGTTAATAACTTCAAAGCTTCCGTGATTTTTACTTAAAAAATGAAGTATCAATAATTGAAAAATCTTCGTGTATTAAGAATTAAAAAATTTGCAGGTAATCAGGCGTTACCGTGAGGAGACAGCCGACGGCTCGATAATCTGGGGCTTTGAAAACGACGATGGTTCCTTCAAAGAGGAAATCATTGGCATTGATTGCATAACTCGAGGTAAATACGGCTACGTCGATCCCGATGGTGTACGACGCGAATACACTTACGAGACTGGTATCAAATGCGATGAGGAAACTCAACAACAGGATCAGGACATACTTAATACTTTCGTCGACTACCAGGAGAATAAGCTTGTATTACCCAGCGGTAAAACCATCGACCTTAGCAGCATGGGCAAAAAGCAGGCGCGTCGGCCTCAACCTATCTACAGGAATTAGAAAGAGAATTTTTATTCGTTCGGGTTACGTTGGAGTTAATGAAACATTTTTATTTTGTATTTTGAAAAATGACAAGCCCTGTGTACGCAACGTAGAAATGTGAGTACTATTTTTTTCACATAACAATCGATTTACTCTTTAATCGACGGAAATCAACGCTGCCGTTTCGAATCATTACACTTATGAATGATAAGACTGCTTTGGAAAGTACTGCAGTATTCGACTTGCGCATGTTGGTTTAATGTTTTAAGATTTAATAATTTTTCGAGATTATTTTCGAACTGGAACACACTGTGATAAGAAAAAATTTATACACTGGAAGTTTCATTTGCTCTGACAAAAGGAGATTGAAGGCTGGTAATGCAAACTTGTTTACGGCACGCCTCGCTATATCACTTGTTGTGTCAATAAGATTAAATGGATACTTTGCAAAACGCGATTTCTCCATTTTACTTTCGATGGAAGCAAAAGGCAACTTTTAAAAGAAGGCGTGGATTATTTGTATGACATTATGTGAACATTTGAAAAAAGTTATCCATGCTTAACTTTTTATTAGTTTAACAAAGTTAACCTTTTTTTTGAACACTTCTTCGCTACACTACGTTATAGAACTGTATAAAGTACATTTGTATTATTAAGTCATGTAAGAGTTCAATACAATTGGCAATCACTACATTATTGCCATGATGAATTGCGCAAAATGATATGACATTTTATTGTCTGCGAGGTTTCTATGAAGCTTTTTACGCTGTAAGTTCAATCTACATTTTTTAAACTTAAGCACCAATAAAATATTTCTGACTATATATAAACAAATTCATTCATTGAAAGCAAATTTTTTATACTTACGCTGAAAAATTCAAAATTATTTTATTTAAATAGTCAAAATCTTAACAAAAAACTATATGGTTGTTTGCTTTCAACGTATGACAGAATTTCCATCCGATTCAATCAATTAATTATATGTATATGTATCTTATTTTTAAGCCTATTCGTATAATTATTACGTATAATTTATAATATTTGTATGAAAATAAATCTATACAGAATAAAAATTATGTATAAAAACGATTATTAGTAGTTTTATTACTCTGACTCAAAATTATTTTTAAATTCTAAATAATAGAAATTTTTATAAGCAGTCAAAATATCGAATTTTAGAAATTTATTTATCCCTAATAACCCGTTCTTTTTGTTTCGGTCGAAGCACCTTAAACACGAAGTAGCACGTGGTCCCACTATTATCCGATCGTGATCGACTTTTCTGCGCCGACTCCGCCAAATACATCCACGTAGAGTATTTATTCTCCATCATTGTTTTTCTCATTGCATTACCTGATGTCTGATATCAACCTAAAGATTGATTGGCTACAAATGTCAAGTTCATTCCAAAATTGCTGACTATATTCACAAATCTACGTTGCTTGAAAATATGAAGTTTTTGTTCGTTCATAGTATCAGTTGATGCTAAATATTAATTAAAGCATTGATTCAAGGGAACTTCGTTATTATTAATTTGAAAATTTTATATTTTCAATGAAGATACGGTTGTGAAAAAATATACATCGAAAGAATTTGTATATTTGATAATTTTTTATTTTTACCCTTCAAAAACTTGTGTTTGTATTAACAATACACATATAATTACGCTTTAAGAAATGTGTCTTCAAATAATCGAAGTTACTTGAATAATTAATAATACATTAAAACTTCATTACTTAAAAAAGAAGTTATTTAAAAGAGAATGACCATTGCAAAACTAAAAGCCGAAATCCTAAATAAACACACCACTTATGCAAATTCATAAAAAAGCGTTACACATAACACAGCGAGGCAGCCATGATTTGGCTTCGTGGCTTCATTCTGATAGTCGCACGACTTTTGCCTAACTTCATATAGCTTGGAAATAAAATGGAGAGAGGCAGCCGGGACAGAGTGCAACATGCAGAAGTAGGTCTCGCGTGGCGGCTGGTAGACGTAGACGACAAGACGACGGCGGTGCTCGGCGTAGGCTCACACAAATACATCTCTGGAGCTGTACCGTTGTGCTGCTGCTATCCTTGTTATTTTCTTTTCCGTTTTGAAAAACCTTTTCCGTTTAATCAGCAATCATGAGAAACTTCTGGCTGCTGTTACTTCTTGTCCTACCGGCAATTATCTTAACAACCTGTCGAGGTAAGTGTCTCCAGATGTCATACACGTGAGCTTTGAGTATCCTGGTTAAACTACTAACTTTCGCATATGTTGGCTTTGTGTTCGAGTATTTAGAGTGGCTTCGATTAGCTGATCCGGGAAATTGCACGATCGAGCGGTTATTTCAGTGAACTTTGGGAGGTGGAAAGTGACACGTGAGCGCGCTTGGGTTACTTTTTGGAGCACCGATGGTGTATGAAAGTTTTCTCGGGATGAGGTTTCGTAAAATTCAAGACGATGCTTTTGACAGGATATCAAGCGCAATTGTAGCGGACTCGCGCTGACGGAATTTGCTTTTTAAAAAATAAATAGTTTTTGCATTTAGAATAAGCTGCTGGTAATTTAAAGCTATTTAAATCTAAACTGTTTTTTATCATTTTGATCTAGCAGATGGGCATGAATCTATTGTATAAAATCAGAGTAGATTAACCAAATTAGTTTTTTGAAAAGATTTTTAATAATATATAACAAGAGGCTTATAGAAAATAAATTTTTTTAAGAGCCTGTATCATTCAATAAAATTTATTGGAATATTTACTATAATTAATATTTCTTTTTTAGTAAATGGACTGGTAGCATTTGCTCAAGAAGATGATAATGATGACATTGTTGATGTTGAGGGAGAAGAAGCTGGTGTAATTGCAGAAGAAGAACCTGAAGAAGAAGCAACAGTTACAGCTTCAAAAGATGTAGATACAACAATTCTGTTTACAGAACCAATCCATAATCCGTTATCTACTCTTGGTATATTTATTTGTTAAAACTAGATTGTTTAAATATTACTTTGAAATTTTGGAATTAGATATATATATATGTGCTTTTACTTACTACAGAATTGCCTGCTGGAAAGCTTGTTGAATTTTTGATTGGCTTCACTAACAAGGGTGACATTGACTTTATCATTGAAACTGTCAACACCTCATTCCGTTACCCAATGGACTACAACTTCTATATCCAGAACTTCTCAACAATTGCTTACAACAAGGTTGTTAAGCCCAACCAGGAAGCCACATTATCTTACTCATTTATTCCATCTGAAACTTTTGTTGGTAGGCCATTTGGACTCAATGTTAATTTGAACTATAGAGATGCTGTAAGTAAATTTTAGTTTATTCACAAATAAGGTTTTTCATAAATGTATTTGCCAATATTTCATTATATTTCATAGAATGGGCTGTCTTTCTATGAGGCTGTATTCAATGAAACTGTACAAATCATTGAAGTTGATGAGGGACTTGATGGAGAAACTGTCTTTTTATATATATTCTTGGCTGCTTGTGTAGTTCTTACTCTTGTTGGAGGACAACAGCTTTTGTCTTCCTTTGGAAGGAAAACTCGTTCTTCCTCGCGCAAAGTAGCTGTTGAAGTTGGTACCAGCAACCCTAATAATGTTGATTATGACTGGATTTCAAAAGAAGCATGGAATATGCACAGTAAGTATACATTACACTTTGTTCACTTAAATGTATCAATTTTTATTGATACTTAATGTTTTTATTTTTTTTCCACAGATAAGTCACCAAAAACTCCAAAACAAAGTCCAAGGCAAAGGAAAGCCAAAAGAACAGTTGGATCAGATGACTGAATTTACTAATTTATTAATGTGGTTAATTTAATGAAAAGAGGACACGAATAATAGGACGTACAAGTTTTTTTATAAAGAAAAGTTTTTACTAAAGCACAACATGAAATCATTGTCATTTACATGAGTGTGTCGCTGTGTTTTTTTTAAATCAGTGTGCAACACCACGTTATTTGTGAACAAACTTATCATCTAGATAATAAAAAAGTTTACTATTGAATATGGAGTACTACGTTTATAGAGTTACTAATAAACAATCTTTTTTTGTGAATACTCTTAAATAATTATTGCCATTGTGATAACTATTACACAATAAGATTTTTGAGGAGTGTCATCTAAACTTTGTGCTAATAATAGAGATGAGGGATGCTTCAAGATAAACGAAAAAGTTTTTAAAAAATTGCCTTACACATTTAAACACATTCCATTCGAAATTGATTGAAAAACATAAGACATGTATTACCTTTAGTTAATGTTCATTTATCTATTTAATGAAATTTAATGTGTGTAAATACTTTGTGTGTTGTATAACTTTGATAATATTTTGTTGGATTAAAATATTGAAAATATTTGTAACGGACATTTATTCTTTCATAAATAAAGTGTTTTTATAAAGGTAAAATCGTAGTGTAGTTTTAATTTCATTTTCCATCTTATCAATCAATGGCGTGAAAAAGATCAGAATAAAATACTAAATCAGCAGCGATGGCGTGGCATAATGTGTGCTGGTTCTGTTTAGCTTACGTGGCCGACGAAATCATTTCACTTTCTCTTCAATGTTTTTTGTGAAGTGATTTCTTGCCGGCTAGAGCTATCTTTTATTACGGTCAGTGACAGTAAAATATTGTCTCATTTTTATTTTATTTACATATAAATTAATTTGACTTGTTGAATCATTATGTTTAAATAAATAGCACGGCTTTGCATTTAGTCATCTAATTGTTTTTGTTTAAATAATCTTTCAAAAATTGTAAATCTTGACAGTAATAAATACTGTCACAAAATTTATCAAACAAATCAATATTAGCTTGAAGAATAAATTTAGAAAATAAATATTGTTAGTTTTAGTTTAATATTAATATTTCATTAATATTTCTAGTTCGCTTATTATTATAATCGACGACATAACAATGAGATTTTTATGCATCAATTAATAAAAATTACTAACGATATTTGAACTGCTGTTATATAACTTGACCAAAAACGCATAAGCGTCAAAGTCGATCTACATTCATTGACTGTATGTACCATGTAGTACGCCTAACTACACATTGACTAAAGAAGCTAACCTAACCTTTATTATTTCTTTAACCGCGAGGAAGCGCTTCTGTAGTTCCGCACTTTTCCGGCATCAGCCTTTCCTAAACAGTGCGTTATTGTAGTTGGACGTTGCCTGAAATAATCAGGTAACATCTCTAGTTTTTAATTGTTTGTTAAACTAACAAACTGTCAAAATGCCTCCTAAGTTTGATCCTAATGAAGTTAAGAAAGGTATTTTTCATTTTTCTTTTTTTATTTAAGTTTTATATGTATTCAAAGTGTCACGTGTATTGCATGCTAACTTCCATATTTTCAGTGTACCTAAGATGTGTTGGAGGTGAAGTAGGAGCTACTTCATCCCTTGCCCCAAAAATTGGTCCCCTTGGTCTTGTAAGTAATCTCAATAATGTGTTTTACAAAAATATAAATTTATAACCTATCAAATTCTGATTTGATTGATCTCATACAACTATGAATTGGTTATGTTGGTCATTATATATTGATTGTTTTCAATTAAAATAATGCCTTTTATTTCTGTCAATATTTGCTTTTTTGTGTTTTTATTTAATGATTATTAATTAATTTGATTTCATTTTGTTTTACAGTCACCTAAGAAAGTTGGTGATGACATTGCTAAAGCAACTTCTGACTGGAAGGGTCTTAAGATAACTGTTCAACTGACCATTCAAAACAGACAGGCTACAATATCTGTTGTGCCATCAGCTGCATCACTGATCATTAAAGCCTTGAAAGAACCACCCAGGGACCGTAAAAAAGTCAAAAATGTTAAACACAGTGGTAATCTTTCATTTGACGAAGTTATCAATATTGCACGTTCTATGAGGCCTCGATCAATGTCACGTCAGCTTAAAGGTACCGTCAAAGAAATTCTTGGTACCTGCCAATCTGTGGGATGTTTAATTGAAGGCAGATTACCTCACGATATTATTGATGAAGTCAACAGTGGAGAGATGGAAGTATCAGAAGAGTAAATGGTAGGTATAGAGTCCTTTGCTCAACCTTTTAATTGTAAATTTTTAAATGTCAATCATGTCTTGAAAATATAAACTAATTGAAAAAGCAAATAGCCAAAATAAAATTTAGTAACAAAAGTTTATTATTTTTAAGTTATTTCTTACAAATAATTCTTATTTATGATTGTAACTTGCAAATTGTTACAAATGAATTTTTAAAAGCTTAATTTAATTTCTCAATTTACATGACTATCGTTTTATAAAAAAAAAATTTTTATTTATAATTCACTTTTATTCTCTAAACAATTGAAAGTGAGAGTTCTGGACTCTTGGTAGGGGTTGGCATCCCATCCACCTGTTTGGTCTTGATGCTTTATAATCAGTCCGACAGGCAACTATTAGCCATTGAGGAGTAAACCTCAATAAAAATTCATATTTTTTTCTTCTAATTTCTTGATTTTATTAGTTGTAACTGTTAATCCAACAATTACAGCTTATTTTTAAGTTAAAAAACTTTAAAACATTTGTATAACAAGTCTATCTTTATTTTTTCAGATGGTTTACTACTTTGGTAATAAAAAAACATAAAATCTAATTTCTAATGTATACTGGTTTATTTGTATCTCTTTTTCTGTACCTTAATCCTTACTCTAAAATTTTTTTAAATAAATTCAAAATCATTGTTATAAATACAAAGGTAAATGAGAATTAATACTTATAAATAAAGTTTAATAGATTTAATAGAAACTTGTCTGAAATATACAATAAATTATACTTTTGTTTTTACTTTTAAAGCATTTAAACGGAAACTAAATAAATATACAGAATAACCTTTTTTATTTTATAAAGTGAAATTTAAACAGTAAGCTACTTTCATTAGATAAGTAACTTCATGTTCTTGCTATAATATTATAATTCAATGATCTAATATTTCAATGGTTTATTTCTTAATGGGAACATCTTGTACACCAGATGCTTGTCCTCTAAAGTTAGGGAACTGTTCCCATGGTGCAGATAAATCGAACTTTCTGTATTCTTGAGCCAACTCGAGAGGTTCAGCAACCACTCGTTTCTTTTCGTCGTCGTATCGTACCTAAAAATTGAATTAATAATAATAAAATTAATTTGAACAAATTCATATAAGATTCTCAAAATTAATTATACATAAAACATTTGATATTTAATAAAAACCTTTGAATTCAATACCCATACTACCAAAAAAGTACATATTAGTATAATTACTTTAGGGCAATATTCTAATACTATAAAATGATATGCTAATGTTATTCAATTACATAAATTATTGAATTAGTTATCATTTTAAAAATAAAACTTATTTATGCGCATAACAAAGATGCATTTTGAAATTAGTTTTGTTAATTAAGTAGCATAAAAAATTACCTCGATGTATCCAGTAAGTGGGAAATCTTTCCTCATGGGATGACCTTCAAATCCATAATCTGTAAGGATTCTCCTCAAATCAGGATGGTTAGTGAAATAGATTCCAAACATGTCCCATACTTCACGCTCGTACCAGTCTGCAGCACGATGAATATAATAAATGGAATCAACTGGTGTTAATTCATCTGTATAAGATTTAACTCGACATCTTGTATTATAAGGTATAGACAATAGCTGATAAACAAGCTGAAAAATCAAAATTTTTAAATTAAATTAAATTAAATATATGATCATTTAGAAGACGTACTGAATTTAATTTTTGTATGTGCTAATGTGATACTTTTTGGTCACATGCAAATGTAAATCTTACTTCAAATCTGTATGGTCTACCAGGTACATCAACAGCTGTCAAATCTGACAAATTTGTAAATTGACAGTTGTGATGATCTTTTAAAAAGCTGATTGTTGGTACAATGCCATCAGGTGAAATGAGAATTTCTAGTTCATCACCTGCTGCTATTTGAACTTTTTCTACATATTTTGGTAAACATTCAGCAACATAAGTTCCAAAGTCTTTCAATTCGGCTACTCTTTTCTGATCAATTTTACGAACAGTGGCTGCAAATAAAAATAAAAATGTATAAAATTTGTATACATTGGTAAATATCATTTCAATTTCATATATTTTTCACTTAGAATGTTACAATTCAATTACAATTTTATGATTGGAATAAACCAGTAATGTTGATAACTATAACAATTAAATGTTGATGCTTAAAGAGTAGAGATTAAATAATAACACTTGCTTTGACAACAAATAAACTATGTGCAGTATAATTGATAACTCATAAAAAATATGATAATATAATTGTAAGCAACTGTAAAACGACGTAGAAGATTGATTAATTAAGAAAATATCATCGACTTACGTCTATTATCCTTTTCTACAGAAGCATCTTTCTTTTCATCAGCATTTTTCAAGACAGAGCAGACAGAAATATAACCTAAAATAATATAGCTGATATGACGTTATGTAATTCAGGACAACTAAATTAACAATAAGCTCCCATTACTCACGTTGGGGTTGAGGATTCACTCGAGTAAAAGATTTTATGGCTGTTACAAAATTTTTCAATGCGAAAGCCATTTTATTGGGGAATTGTTTTTCTGTGACGGAATCGCCAAGAGTAAACGATATTTTCCATCAACAGAAAAGTATTTGACGTCGAATTGCGCATGTGCTCTCTTCAAAACGTTTTCGCGCTTTATTGTAAATGTTGAAAAGCAGAGAAATATATTTGATAGCTCTTCACTATTAAAATTCGTTCGTCGTAATTTCATTAAAATCGATTTCGCAGAAATGTGCAAATGTTCAATCAACATACAAGTGTTAAATTAATTCAAAACATCAATAAGTTGGGTGTTGATAGAGGTTTTGTGCTATCCATAAAAATTAATTTCAAACAAATATTAAACTTATTAATTCAAACAAATACTATGAAAGCAATTGCACAAAATCAAACTGTGAGCATTCGTTAATTTAGCTATCAAGGAAATAATTATTGTTATTGATTCGAAAGTTTTGGAAATATTAGCGAACTCGACAAATTAATTATAATTTTTTGATAATTTGGATTTAGAATACACGCATTTTCGCGAAATGACATATTGTGTATCTATCGACTCATAGGTAATCTTTTACCACTTACTCGTTGAAAAATATCTAATTTTATGAATTTAGTTGTTCCACCTAAAACTGTACCGCTGTAGCATAAAAGTAACAAGTGCAATAAAAATGCGTCGTTTAACTGAAAAAAATAATCAGTTTATATTACACAACCTTTTTCTATAAAACGAATGCTACTAATTCATTCATTTTAAATCACTTTAAAAAAGACTACCATTGAAGTTGTTCTATGGTAAATTTTTTTTCGTGTGGCATCAATTGTATTCACGAAGAATAATGATACATTTCGCACGCTCGAGTCTTTCACGAAATTATTCGTCGAGCTATCTTCTCACGGCATGGTAGAGAATTCGTTAAAAATTCGTATGTGAAAGGACTTATTGGAAGCTCCTTTACTCTAAATGGATTTGCGCTATGCTTTTCGAGCCTAATGCAACTCTGAAGCCTGAAGATGTCGCTCTCCTCTCCAGCTTAATTGTTGATAAATTTTTATTTACAAGGTTATTACACATTGATTATAAAAGACTATTTTTTTTCAAGCATTCCAATATGCCGGTTATCTATTAATTATCTTGATAAGACGACAATTTATATATCTTGACTATGCGAATCTAGGATGTTTTCGTTGTCGACATTTCGTTTATTTATTTTTTTTTTTCGCACTTGGTTTTCAATTACGACTTTTTTTACGTACAGGTTGTTGGAATGATTTTCCGCAAAGTACTATTTTCATCAAATTAACTATAAAACATCATATATTAAACGGATTTTTAATACTAATTTTTAAACATATTAATGCAGTTCAGTTCAGTTTTATGTTATTTGAATGGGGAAAGAGAAAAGAAAAAATATTAATCTACTTCTGTCATTGAAAATGTGAATATCTTTACGTGTACTTAGAGAAATAAAAAAAAAATTTAAAAGCTAAACCCATGCTACAATAAATAAATATATCAGTTACTACTCAATTTTACGAGCGTATCAATGTAAAGTTAAATCATGTACGAATCTCATAGTTTTTGAGTGAAACTCAATAGGAAGCAGACATCTGTAACAAGAATTGTTATCATTGCGACTAAGTCGAGCTGTCGTCTCTATCGGCGAACATAAATCAAATTGGAAAACTATAAGCAAGTGAAGTAATCAGACTATAAAAAAGAAAGACTGAAAGAAAGCCGCGACACGTGCAAACAACTTTCCAGTGATATAATTTTCAGCGCTCATTCGCGCAAAGCCACAGGACAGAGCGTCGACAAGGGAGGCGCGCGCAATTATTCCAAGGGAGCACAGCATTTTCTATCTTTAGCGAGAATTCGTAGAGTCCGTAAAGGTTCGCGCGAGCGAGATCGTGACGGCGCAGCACCTATCTTTAAACGTAGCAGTCTCAAATCGAGCCGTGAAATGATTGTCGTGCGGCAACGACATTTTCGAAACACTCGAAGGCTTTCCTCGGCGCTCCTTCAACTAAGTTTAAACTTCGTTTTGGCTCTGACTTTATTTTCGGTTCTCGCGGCGCGCGCGTCGCGCACGCCTCGACTGACTGCGAGGCGGCCGACAGTTTTCGAATTCTACGCGGCAAACGCGTTAATTAACGAGGCGCATTTTTCGACAGCACATTCGGGAAATGAAAGGCATTCGTTGAATCGATAAATTGTTGGATTGCTCGAATTTTACGTTATGCCTAGCTTACGGCATAGCTTTCGAGCATGAAATGCATAAGTTACAACGTGAATAGTTATGCGGTGGCAATTGCGAAATACCGAGTGTATTTGTCAAGTTGTAATTATGACTGCGAGTACCAAACTTTGGAATCCTATATTATATGATTTCACGACGACTCCTGATTCGAGTTTTCTTAGATAGATTACTTCAAACAGTTTCGCTTATGGCGCACATGCCAGTTTCAATTAGCACTTGTTATCTTTCAAAATAACTATTCGTACTTTTATGTTGGACTGCAGGATAATGAGTTTCATAATTAAACGACTCGCCTCCTGAAAATTATTCGATCGTGACTCTATGAGACGAAAAGCAGGTATCCCGTAAATTAACCTACAGTTAATAAAATACAGAATGACGAGATCAATAGAACTTTGTAACTGTAGGATTCGGTCAAGACAAAATCCAAATTAATCATTCATAACGAAGGAAACGAAAGATTGCTTTAAGTTAAGAAATGGGCTGACTATACTTTGAGCGCCTGCCGCTTGTCCACCCTTAGCGCTACCCTTACTACTTAAAAGGATTATGCCGTCGGCGCGAACGCCCGACCGGCTTATATAATCGAAGAGCATTCGTCTTCTTATTCGAATGCACAAATGTACGAGCTTAATTATACTTGAGGCAGGTACACATTCGACACGCGCACACTTATTTACAAGCCGAGCACCCGAAGCTCGGCCGTCGAGAAAGTTGAGGACCCTCGAGAAGAGGAAGAAGAAGAAGAGCATGTCTTTGTAGCAACTTTGAGGCATGCATAAACGCTCGTCGGCCCTAATTGACAGAGGAAAAAGGCGGAAGGAGCCGAAACTTGGGTCTTGCTACAAGCGCCAAGTCGCGGCAATACATTCTCGTCCGGGGTACGCACATGTACACAACGGAGCAATAAACAAATGCTGGAAAAGCCATAAATCAGCGGGTCGGCGTTCGCGATAGTAAATCACCGAAAACTTGGATGCCGGCATCCCCACTACCGGCAAAAAATATCGCTCGCAGAGAGGAGTAATGGTCGCGCGCGGAGCCGAGTCGAGGGCTGGAAAGAACAGCATTAGTCGGCGGCGCGCGCTTGCGTTTAGGCGCGGCTGCACGTCAACCGGCCATCGGCTTGGCCAGGTACGGCTGCACGTGCACACACGAAGGAACGCACAAAGGTGTGCGTGTACATATACATGGGAGAAGAGGGTATGGCCCCCAGGTCGATATATCAGGGCCGTGGGGCGGTGGGGGGGTTGCTAGCGGTGGTGGTGCAACTGTCTGTCAGGCGAGCGGCAGCGGCAGCGCAGCCACGACGAAGAAAAAACTGCGCTGTGCTTCTGGGTAATTTTTCATCGTTGCAGAGAGGGAGAGGAAGCTATGCGCGCCTAGCTAGCTAGCCACCCGCCCTCTTTCCTCTTTCTTTTCGCCCTTTCTCCACCTCCGCGAAAAACGTCCGCCCACCTGCAACCCCCCAGCGCGTCCGCGTTCGCCCGTACCACCACTGCTGCCGTTGCTCTGCGGCCCCACCTCTTTTTCTACCTCCCTCCTAGCACCAACGTGTCCGCGGGGGGAGGCCGGGGGAAAAAACTCAGCGAGCTGGCGAAAAGAACCGAGAGGGAAAGAGTGCGGAGGTAGAATGCCGAGGCTGGTGGGGAGGAGAGGATCGATTTTTACTGGGGCGCGCGAAAGCAGGGAGCATGCCCCCCTTCAAGAGAGAGAGACGGCGTAGTCACGCATCTTGCGATTTTTCGAAAAACGCGCGGCGCAGCCTCTCTGCTGTACACGTATATGTGCGCTGCGGCGCTGGTCAGCAACCCTTTTTTCCGTTCGTTTTTTTCCTCTCTCTCTCTTTCTCTCTCTCTCTCTCTCTCTCTCTCTCTCTTCTCTCCCTCCCCGTATCCCGACCCTCCGAGTCGACGAGGAAAAAAAGGGGGCGAGCGAGAGAGCGCGCGAAAATATTCGCATGGAGAACCAACGGCAAAAAAGTTCGGCCGAGCACGCACCTCTCGTTTCTTCTTTTTTTTTCGACTCCGCTGCCGCTGCTGTCCCTGCCTTCCTCTTTTTCCTTGTTTTTTTTTTGCGTGTGCGCGCACTCGCGCCCTCTCTCTCTTTCTCTCTCTTACGTGCTTCATTTTCTCTCTGTCTCGCTCGCCCACGTCGTGTCTGGTTTTTCCCCGGGGGTGTGCAGCGCCGAGGCTTTTTAAGCTGGTATTTCCAGCAGCACACGCTGAAATTACTTTTGCAATAGCGCGTACAATTATTTCCCCCGATCGAACGCGACTCTATCCTTCCCCGCGCGCGTGCCTTTGTGCATTATCGGGGCAAGAGCTCCGGTTGCCGACGATGATCGTTCGGCTAGTGCGCGGGCCACGCGCAGGTGTAAAGCGGCAAATAGCTCGCGGCGCACTTGAAAAACAACACGGAGCGCTGGCTGGCTGGCAGGCAGGGATTTTACGACTGCATCAACGAGGTTCAATGTCGGCCACGAGCGAGCGCCGCGGCGTTTACTACCAGCGAGTTGGCTGGCAACCTCGTAAACTCCTCCTCCTCCTTCTCGCGAGTATACCTCCTCGACAAATGGACTGCTTATTAATTCGGATCTGCATGCGGCGACGGGCATTGTTATGTACTCTGAGGGCTATCGTTGTCTCGCGACCGAGCTGCTTCTCCCGTAAGAAACATCTGTTGATCGGCGCAGCATCTCTCGGTGCCAGTCTTTGCAGTTGATAAGGTTGTATTGTTTTCCAAGCATCGTATCGCAATGAAAAGCGTTAAACGTACTGTAAACGCCAATCCATCAAATACATTTTTTTCATTCGAAT